CCGCGGGCCGCGGGGGAGGCGGCGGCCTGAGCGCCCAGGCCCCGCGCGCCGCCGGGGCTCCGGCCGGGCGCCGGGAGACGCAGCATGTATCTCGGTGAGTGCGCGCTCCCAAGGCGCCCTTCTGGGGGGCCCCGGCGCGGGAAGCCCCGGGATCCGTCCCGGTGAGCCCCCCACCCCCACCCCCACGCCGGCGGGCACCGGGGAACCCGCGCGGCCCCCGAGCGCCTTTCTGCCGCGCGCGGGGCCGGGCGCAAGGCGTGGGGGAGTCTGTTGGACGAGAGGAGAGCCGGGCGTGGGGGGCCCCAACTTCACCCGCCGCGTGTGCGCGGGGCGGACATCTCAGAGGGGAGGGCGGGGGGCGGCGTGGGAAAGTCCGGGGCGAACTTGCTGGGGTGCCAGGCGAAGTTGGTCCTGCAGATGCTCTGGGAGCCGGCCGTGCCCGCGGCTCAGAGGCGTGTCGGCGTGCCCCCGGTTCCGAGGAGGACGGGAGGACAGCCCCGGGTGCGCGCTGCCCGAGCCGCTCAGAACAGCCTTTCTCCCCATTCCCGGTTTTCCATCGAGCTCCGGCGCCTGGCACGGAATGCACAGTCTTGTAAACCTCTGGAGGGCTCGGAGCCGTTAAATGTGTGTGCAGTTGAGTTGCGTGCCGCGCTGGAAACCTCCTGTAGGTCTCCCCGGAGCCGCCTGCCTTTCGGGAGAGCATGTTCAGGCTGACTTAGAGCTCGGCTCGCTGGGGAGCGATGTCAGTGGGCTGGGAGCCGAGCGTTTGCACCGGAACGCGGCGCCTGACGGCCGGGGGGACGGCGGAGCCCTGCCCTGAACTGCAAGCCCAGGGTTAGACGGACACCGAGTCCTCCTCCCGGAGCTATGCTTTCCTTCTGTAAGTGCCATCCCGCGTCAGCACCGAAGGGCGTCTATCCGGTATTAACCGCTCTTGAGAGCCGCTAAGAGGCCGGGGAGGGGGTACTTCAAGGTGCTGATGCTCCGGGTGATTGGTTNTAAGTGCCATCCCGCGTCAGCACCGAAGGGCGTCTATCCGGTATTAACCGCTCTTGAGAGCCGCTAAGAGGCCGGGGAGGGGGTACTTCAAGGTGCTGATGCTCCGGGTGATTGGTTGACTTGCTGGAAATAATAAAGCTAGGGTCGTTTTTCAGTTAAGGAGGTATTTGGATTAACTTGCGTTGGGGCAGTGTTAGTTTCTTGGGTGTTTATTGTCGATGTGTACTTGTATTGTTTGCTTGAGCCTTTGAAACATTTGCGAAAGTATGCAAAAGCTGACCGCTCATTTAATTGTCTTGATCACAGTTTTGATTTCCCTATAATTTGTGTCATATCAGAAAAGACGGCTTAAAAATAACTAACGATGATTTGAAGGAAAGACTCATTGCATAGCCAGATTTAAGCAGAATCCAGTGTTAATGCTCCAGGCTGTGATATTGATGGAGGTGGTAAGCGTCTTTATTGGCAGTTCATAAAATAGCAAGTGTTTACCGTGAATATGTTTTTAATACCTGCAAAAGCTTGTAAAGACAACCTGCCTTTTGAATAAAATAACATATTATCACCGGTAATGGTATTTGAGGGATGGAAAGGAAGATTATAATATTAAAGTTTTCAGCGTCTTGCAGTAATGCCTGAGGTGATGGTGGTAAGGATGTAGCGTTAACCGGAGCAGTAGTGTGGTCTTCAAGTAGTGGTCCAAAGGCCATCTGTGCTGTGTTGGATTTTCCTGTGTCTCTTGGAGAAGTATCCACTGGGCTGGCACGTATTGTTAACTGCATGATCGTCCAGCCGTCTGTAAAGCAGGGTGATTCACAGGGCAATTAGTTTCACTGTGCAATTCAAGTTTTTAATAGCTCACCCTGAAATGTGATGTCCTGCTTGAGATGAAATTGTATTCTTTTAAAGGAAAGGCTAAGGTTGTTCTCTGTGTTATGAGCGCGGTTCGGGCTTTCCACAGTCCCGGCAGGAGATATGCTTTTCTATTCTCAGAGAAAATCCTATGTATTTAGGAATGCTGTTTCTTTCAGGTTCTGCTGTGCACCCCCTCTCTCGGGCTGTTTGACATCCGGAACTTGGGGAGCACAGCTGTCTGTCATGACATGTGTGGCCCATTATCTCGGGCCAGAATTGACAGTGCAAGCCAGGCGTGTTAAGACTCAATAGCATTTAACGGTGCACCTCCCTGAGAGTATGAATGCATGCATGCAGGCGCACACGTGCATTTATGCGTATGCAGCTGCTTCAGGGCATTTTTTTTCAAAACAGTGCTTTCACTTTGCCGTTTGGCTGCCAGTGACTGTCTTCTTCACACTTCGGCTGTCAAGTGTTTCTCAAGTCAGGGAGGACAGGGACAAAGGGAAGGCAGGGCTGCGTTCTCGGGCCTTCCTGGTGATTTGTGGGAATGGGGTCGCGGTGTCAGAAGTCTTTTCTTGTGTCCCCAGCAGGGAGTGACCGAGAGCAGGGTGATGCTGAAACACCCAGGGAACTGATATGCAGGCAGGATATTTACTTCCCACGCAAACCATCTGATTCGTCAGTGGTGCTCCCCTGCCTGCCGCCTTTCAGGTATGACCGAGGACCCATCGCCTGGACGCACTGGCCTGCCCTCTGCCCCTCCGGAGACCCCTTGCCCTTAGGGGCGGGACGCCCGGACCCTGTCTTTCTCAGTCGGTCAGCTGTGTGTGTGCGTGTTGGTGGAAGATGCACTATTTCCAGTTCTCCAGAACAGCTGATGTTTTGCGTGTGTCTCAGACTCACGAGACTAATGGAGTCTTTTAATGACTTAAGCCTCACTCTTATCTCCTACTGAAATTTTAGTGCTGTGTTTTCAATAATTGCGTGTTTGCACTTACCGCGCTGTGATTTAAGAGTTTGCTGTCAGTCGCCGTGGATACTTTTGTTCCTTATTCTATCGATCTTGCATTCATTACTTGGAGTTAAAAATCAAGTTCACCCACAAGAAAGGAGGGAGGAAAAATCCCAGTGAGTAGGCAGGTTGGAATTTACTCTAAAAGCAGGAGAAAAATCAGGAAGACTTCTGAAGTTACCCTCCTCACCCCCGGTCGGCCGCAGTGATGAGCGGCCGCCCGGCCCTGCCAGCCTCACAAGTGGTCCCCAGTTGGCCAGAGAGCTGTCGTGTCCCAAGGCTTTGCCGTCCGCAGAGAAAGCGGGAGACTTCTGACATCGAGGAGACTCCGTGTGGCCGGAGGCCAACCAGACGGAGCCCCCGGGGAGGTCACCTCCAGGCAGGACCCGGGGCTTGCTTCCTGAGGACCCTGCTGTGAGAAACAGGAAGGATGCGCCTTCCACAAGTGAGCAGAACTCGGAGGCAAACAGTAGAGCTCACTCTGGATGCTGGTACTGTTGACACAGTCGTTAAGCCCAGAAAAAAAGGGCGAGCAAGATTGAGAAAGTGCCAACCAGCCATTCAAGTTCAGCAGAGGTGTTAACTGTGGATCAGCTGTCTCCCTTCAAATGCCTGAGAAAAACCAGAAAAAGACCTGTGTGGTGTGCCTATCACTGATGGAAGAAGCTTTTGATATAACAGCTAGGGAAAAAAAAAAATCTCCAGGAAAATTCTAGACCAGCAGCCTGTTCCCCTGCCTATGATAGACATGTTTGTACACTGTCATAGGAAGGACTCTGTTTCCCCTGGGATGTTTAAAACATTCTCTAGTCAGCATTTATACTTTTGGTTGCGGTTGGGCCATGAAGTTTCACCTCCAAAGCAGTATGTTAGAAAAACAGTTAAGCGGCAAGGGTAGGAGGAAGGGAATGAGCAGAAAACAGCAGGCAGCAGAGAAAAGCATTCTTCTTTTGGTGTACGTTTTCAGGGGAAACATTTAACTCATCCTAATTAGTCTGCATGGGTGACCTGTTAAGGGGATCAGGGCCACCTGAGTCTCTCGAACACACTGGACAGGCTTCTATTTTCCTAGGCTTCCAGGGCAGAGGATAATTCAGGAGGGATCCGTGAGTCCAGGTCACCCTTTCCAAGGTTTGAAGCCATCACCGCTGTGTGTCACTACAAATGCTTCCAAGCGGCATGCAGTCAATCTCCACGTAACGGGGCGGAGGACCTGGCGGGGAGGGGCTCACCTGAGAGCTGAGGGACCTCTCCTCCAGAGTTCGGAGCCTCTCTCACTTCCAGAAGCCGAAGTCCCAGTATGATCAGCCTGTCGGCAACATGGACTCTTTACGAGGACCCTTACATCTCGAGCTAGGCTCTTCTCTGTTTTTTAGGACCTTCTTAGTGGCTGTAATTATATGGAGATGAGATGGGTTTATTTAAGGGATGTGTTCCAAATTCATGAGCTAATGACGACTCGCAAAGTTGCCCTTTTGTGGGTGGCATGATTGTTCCAAGAAACAAATGAAAAATTTAAATTAGTGGTTTCTGACTTCCATTGCAGAGTATTTGGTCACAGCTGCTTTTGACTGAAACCTCCCATGATATCACCAGAAGAGTTGGCTAGTGTGTGTGTGTGCGGGGGGTGGTGGTGGTGAGTGTGTGTGTGTGCGTGTGACTGTGTGTGTAGTGTGTGTTTGTGTGTGTATGTGGGCTGTGTGTGTGTAACACTGGATCATCAAATAGTGCCTTGTTATATAAATACCCTGACATTCATTTCTCAGTCACATCTCTTGTGGATTCCTAAATCTTTTCACATCCTTTGCAATGCAAGACTTTAAGAATTGATTTAATAAGATGGATATGAAACTATATTTTGATAACAGCTGGCTTTCAAGTTTATCAACCATTATATCGCTTAGAGGTTTTTAAAGTCAAGTCATAAGGATAATTTTTGTGGCCTCTCCTGCTTAAGAGAGAGTGATGGTTGTATAAGCAGAAAACTATTTCGACTTTGACCTTGAGAAGGAGCTGTTTCGATTTGTGCGACACTATGAGAAACATGTTGAAAAACAACGAAGGTCACGGTCACTGCCCTTTCTCTGAGTGCGTCTCTCTTTAAAGAAGTCATTACATATCATTTCCCACAAAGATTAGTTTTGCAACAGAATTTCACACATGATTGGTGGCATTAAGAGAAAATACAGCGTAAGAGGCGACTGGAAATATCAAAGCTTAAAGTGGTTGAGATCATGTTTGAACCAAATTGCTAGGGTTGAAAATAGGAAGATGCTTTGCTGTGTTGCAGCATCAAAATCCTTATAAAGCAGCTGGAAGTCGGCTTCCTTTGAATGTGAACCCCAGGCTTGCACCGCCTTTAAAACTGAAGGCTTTTCCGTGAAACCCTCTGGATTCTGACACCTGGAATGCACATGAACCTGTATCAGAGCGCTGAATGGCAGGCACTGAGCCTCTTCTTTTTCACCTTTAAGTTTCTCTTTCTGTTCTGCTCACTTGCAATAATCCCATTTCTGTAAGTCGGGAGGAAGGAGGAGAGTTACCTGGCCAAGGTCACAGGAACCTGCAGCAGCAGTCTGGGCTCCAGCGATGCCGTCCACCCGAGCACCAGGGTGCCGGAGGGCGGTGCGGACCGCGGCCAGGGTCAGGCCTTGGGATTGCAAGATGGACCGCGCGCTGGAGATCAGAGAGGGAGGGAGTCTCCAGCGGATCAAGAAGGCTGATGTTCCCTAGCAGAGCTGGTGTCTGTGTGTTGACAAGAGAAACGCACCCCTTTGCTTCTGAAATGGTAGCTGCTTTTCTTCAATATGTCAAAGCCAGGACTCATCCTTAGAAATTAGATCTTTAAATAAAGGTGTGGAATTCCACAGCCTCTTTTCTTTTTGCTTGCTTCTTTCTTCATGGGACTCTGCAGTGTAAAAAGGAGAGGGACAGAGCTTCAGAAGATTGAGGCTAATGTTCGAATGTGTTGGAAGAATGTGTGGAACCTTCAGATGGGATGATAGAATTGT